GTGTTTCTCTCTTTCTCTCTCTCTTCCCTCCTTTCAACTCTCTCTAAATATCAATGGGAAAAACATCCTTGTGTGAGGATTTAATAAAAACAAAAAAAGGTAATGCGAGTTAAGTGCCTTCATAGAGCCTACACACTGTAAGCACTCAATAAATATCAATTAGCATCATTATTTTTGTTGCTATTTTAAACATTTATTTGGGGAATGGAAATTATTACTGGAATGAAAATTCCTCAAGGTCCATAGATGATAGAGTGAAGACGAGATGTTTATACATGTGTATATGAAGACACATTTTAAAATGTTTTCCTAATATTTAGGTTTTAAAGACATACATTTGTCTGGCAAATACTCTAATCTTATGGCAGCTCTTTCACTGTGGCCTTAGCTGGTATTTGAATGAAATCTCGCAGAACTTAGATGTCATGTGCCCCAATCAGAGCTGCATTCTTTGAGAATGAACCGTGGGTGCCTCTCTGCATCCCCCAACGCTCACGCTCGGTCCTTTAACTCACAATGCTGAAGAGAAAAAGGACTGTGTTGATACAAATCCGGCTGCTTAGGAATGAAAATGTTTCCGAAGTTCTGTGGAATGACTGTGTGGAATCCCTCCGGAAAGTCATGTTCAGAAAGAAGAAGATTCTGCCTTATGATTACCGAGAGTTTAGGATTCCCCCCTCCCTTTTCACCCAGTACATTCTGAATGCCTCAGACACCGGGGAAAACAAAATCAGCGAGCGTGGGGGCCTGTGGTTTGGGGAGCATAGCTGCCTTTTTTTTTTTTTTAATGAAAATGCATTTTACTGGTAGCTCTCATTTTCCAAGGCTGTAATTAGGGAGAAACTCTCAAACTGCTGGACCTAAGGACGGCAGTGACACGGTCCCGAGGCACCTAGCCCAGAACAGGATGGCCCCGGACTCTGAGAATTCGCTCTCCAGAAGGCAGAGAAGTCCCGTTTAGCACTTGACCCGGCCCCTCCACACACACACAGATTCCAATATTCAAGAGGAACAATTTCCAGGATGGGTGGAGCCCAGGCTGACTCACTGTGGCTGCATTCAGACTACCAGGGAATGCTGGCTTCGCACTACAGTTAGGCAAACGTGGCACAGTTTTGCTGGCATTTTCCTATTAAAGACAACATTATTCAAAATGTGGAAGCCGGAGAAGGCCAGGAAGGCCCCCTTAAGACCTTACGGCCACAGACCCCACACCTCTCCATAGCTTTTTTCTAGCATCGCCACTTGATTCTCCATATAAAACCACACCACACACATTTCACCAGGTAACTCTCTTTCTCTGAACAGTCCTCCCATTTCCCTAGGAACCATGGAAATCACCGAAGTTATCTTGGTTCTGTCATTTTAAGCCTGTATAGCTTCAGGTCAGTTATTTAAGTCTTGGTCTCTTCACTGGTCTAACAGAATAATATGTATCTCATAATTAGGAAAATAAACTAAAATATAGTTGAAATATACTACATCAAGTACCACCCTGGCCAGTTTGGCTCAGCAGTTAGAGTGTCATCCTTTGAAGGGTCACAAGTTCGATTCTGGTCAAGGGCACATACTCAGGTTGCAGGTTCGATCCCCAGTGCCAGTCGGGGTCGTGTGGGCGGCAGCCAATAGATGGATCTCTCTCACATGGATGGTTTTGTCTCTCCATCCCTCCCTCTCTTCCACTCTATCTAAACATCAATGGAAAAATATCCTCAGATGAGGATTAAAAATATATATATATAAATACACATATATACATATATATGTGTGTGTGTGTGTATGTTACTCTGGCCAGTGGCTCAGTTGGTTGGAGCGTCATCTGTACACCAAAAGGTTGTGAGTTCAATTCATAGTCAGGGCACACTTACCTAGGTTGCAGGTTCATACAGGAGGTAACAGATTGATGTATCTCTCTCACATTGATGTGTGTCTCTCTCTCTCCCTTCCTCTCTCAAAAAAACATTCCCTTGGTTGAGGATTAATATATAAAGTATCTAGAAAAATACCTAGTGTATCATGAACACCCAATAAATATTATTATTATTAGTTACTATGAATGATCTTAATAAATCCTGTCAAATATTTAAAAGGTCTCTGCTTCTTTCTCTTACTTGGCAGAATAATTTATTATCCCAGTTTAGGTGGAAAATGGCCTCACTTTAAACTTATTGTTAAAAATAAAATGTACTTTTCTTGATTTCCCAGTTTCCTCTCCTAACCATTCAATGAATACACCAATATCCTCCTTAGAACCATTCAACTTACTCTGAATACATTCAGTGAAAGAGGCCGGGGGAAGTCCAAATCCAGCAAGTTTAGTTTTGGTGGTAAACGTTTATTGAGCACATACTAGGTACCGGCATTATGTTAGATTCTAGAGACTACCAAAGGAAGAGCAGGAAGTGTTTTCTACCCTTGAAGAGCTTAGAGCCAGGGTATATATTTTGAGATCGGAGAGTCAGGAAAGGCATTCTAGAAAAAAATAGAAAATGGCCCCTGAGCTAAATCTTGAAGGATGAATAGGCTTTACCCAGGTAAAGAATAGGAGACAACAGGTATTCCAGGCAAAACCAAGACTGGGAAATATCACACAGCTTTGAATTGCAAGCAGTTCAGAACTAATGGAGGGAAAAACATGTGATAGAGAATATGAGGAGATAAAAGTAGGTTTCCAGTTTTCCTAGAGAAAACAGAATTGCCTCTGTACCCATCTAAATAGGAGGAGCTAATGGTTCCAGTCCCATTACCACCAAACTGTCGTTGGTGGAACTCCCTGACCTAGAAAAGTCCTCACTATTTTAGGTCACAAAAATCATCAGTATTTTCAGGCCCACATTATGAGACATTAGGTAAGCTCCTTTGTTACTCTTTGTGTCATTATTTCTCATTTATAAACTGGGGTGATGATCATGCTTTCTTCACAAGGTTGTCATGAGCATTAAATGAGATAATACTGCACATACTTAAAACAGTACCTGACACATAGAAAGTGATCAACGTATGTTCGCTAGTATCATCTACGTGCTGCTCTAGTCTCCCTTACCCCAGGCATCCTGGGGGGGGGGGGGTACTTAGTCAGCAAGAAAGCATGTAAGAAAGAATTTTTCTCAACACCATTTGTCAAAATCTTTCTGACCCAATCACATGTCAGGATTTATGATCATGGTACATAAACTCTATGACCCTGGACAAGTCACAGTTTCTGAGCCCTGGCAATGATCTTTCTGACAAAATTGTGTGTCGTGGCCTTGTTATTTATCTATTACTTGACACATAGAGGAGAGAGATTTAAAATATCCCCTGCTGGCCTTTTCTCTGTGTCCTAGCTTGGTTTCTGTCCGTGGTTCCCAGCACGGAGAAGCAAGTACTACCCAGGGACATTAGAGCTGGACATTAGGAGAAAAGGACTTAGAACTCCACACCTGAAAGTCAGGTGACTTCTGTTTGTCACCTGACTCAGCCCCTTTTTTTCCCTCTCCCCACAGCACCTGGTCATTGATTCTGTCAGTGGGGGTGAGACCCCTCCCTTCTATGTTCCACATCACCTGTCACCCGAAAGGGACCTGCAGGCAGAGTGGCTTTCAGACAGCACCGTGCCCGGCTGTGGGGAAGCAGCATCACACAGCAACCAAAGAGAAGGGGCTGGGGTGTTACCAGCCCCACTCCCACCACCAGCACCACAGCTGTTCAGAGGTTTAGTCTTCAAAAGCTACTTGAAATTCCTGCAAACTCTGTGTCTTAAAAGAAAAACCAACAACCCAGTATCCATGACAACTCTGGGTGAAAACAAAACCAAACCAAGAACAGGCTGTTTAATTCTCAGGCCCACGTGACATGGAGCATCTTCTTTGCCCACAGGAAGTCTGGTAGGATATTGGTCCTAGTGAAACATTTCTATTTACACACTGAGGGAAGCCAGGGCAAATCCATGTCAACACTGCTTTATAACCCTGCTTTGAAAATGCAAAAGCTGTCAATTCAGGAATGAATCAAACCCACAGATCTGAGGGTACATTTACACAGTACTCCCAGGTGGCCTGATGCCTGGGTAACCTCCAGGGGGCACCAAAGAGCTGTTTCTATTTTTAGCACTAAAAGTCCTGGGTGCTCTTTCCAGGCCATATAAATGCCAGTGGATGGGTTCTATTGCACAGCCTTCCTGGGATCAATCCAGGGTACAGGGAGCTGGGGGCCTGTATTACATTAGCAGTAATCTGGCTCGACCAAATCTAAGGATAAACATATCAAGACGCAGAGCACTTCAAGAGCTGAATCAGGAGTTTCAAGCCACAGTGACAGATTCTTGTCAAGAAACTAATGGTTGTGGCTGAGCCACCTCATGCCACAGACAGTATCCAGATATGCAGCGTTGTCCAAGCCTGCTACGGAGAATACAGTGCCAGCCAAGTGGACTAGGTTCCCTGGCCTTGGAGGCCATTTAAACGTCCTGAATTGATCTGAGAAGTAAACCAGGGATAAAAATGGTATAAAACAGAATCACTGGCACAGGCAACTGCCCACAAACCACAGCTCTCAGCACATCTAATAGTACAGATGCTTACTGGGACCCATGATTGTACAAGAGACACCGTTAGGGTAAGAATGCCCACAGTCCAGACTAAGCCATGGATCATGTATATATATATATATATATATATAATATATATATATATATATTTCCCATTTATCATCAGATAGAATGGAAAGGAGAGGGAAAGAGAGGGGGAGAGAGAGAGACAGAGAGAGAGACAGAGAGAGACAGAGACAGAGACAGAGACATTCCCTGGTTGCCTCCTGCACGAACCAACCAGGGCCAGGGACGAACCACAACTGAGGTACGTGCCCTTGACTGGAATCGAACCCACAACTCATTGGTCTGCAGACCAACGTTCTAACCACTGAACCAAACCAGCCAGGGCATGGATCATGTTTTTATAAGACATCAGTACCCCATGGGACTTCTTCGAATCAGTATAACAGTTACCCACCACGTGACTTACCTTCTCAAAGTCTCGAAGAGCCTGGGTCTGCACCCGAGGGGCTTTTTCAAATGCCCTCAGATAATGTGTCTGTCCAAAGGGGACCTTCTCACCACTTCGCCAGGCCTGTGGCTGCCCTGGAGGGCCTCGATCTTTAGTGTCACTAAGGAAAGCTGCCAGGGAAACAACAGAAGATGTTACATAATGCTGGCATTGTGATCATTCCAATCTGCACAATTCCCTAGAATTTGGCTTTTACAAACCAATTCTTGGCCACACAGAAACAGTTCACCTACAGTAAGCCTGCGGTAGATCATAGTAATAAGGTCCCCACCCAGTGAAACACACTAGTTATATCCATGCCCCTTTGTAATGTGATGTTCCAGCTTCTCCATCAAGAGTGTTTATTTCTCCACCTCTAGAATCTCACTGACCTAGTAACTTGCTTTGAGGAAGAGAATATAATGAAAATGCCACTGTATGAGTTCCAGAGACAAAGCCTTGAGAAGGCTTGCATGTTTGTTCTTGGTCTTAGAACCCGAGACCACCATGCTGTGAAGTAGCCCAGTCCATCCTCCTGGAGGAGGAAGGCCACATACAGGGGGAATGAAGATGCCCCGGCCGACAGCCAGTCACCAACTGCCAGACTCTTGGATAAAGCCACCTTGGACCCTCGGTCCCAGCAAGCTGTCAGAAGACTTGCAGTTATTTGAGTGATCCCAAGTGAGACCAGCAGAAGAAATGCCCAGTCCGCCAACACACAGAATTGTGAGAAATGACAAATTATAGTTTTAAGGGTGGGCAAACTTTTCTTAAAGGGCCAGACAGTAAATACTTCAGGCTCATGGGTCAAACCATCTCTGTCGAAATGGAAGCTCCGCCTTTGTCGCTCAGAGCAGACACAGATAATATGGAAGTAATACGTAATATATAAAATTTGTATGTAACATATAAAATTTGTTTACAAAAACAGGCAGTTGGCCCATAGGATGTAGTTTGCTGACCCCTGTTTTAAACCACTAAGTTTTAAGGTGGTTTGTCACATGACAAAAGATAACTGAAAGAGTCTGGTTTTTTTTTCTCTTTCAGTCAAGCTATTAGCTAAGTTTTCCTATAAACCTCTCTATAGAGAATCTTTCAGGTTATCATTTAGGAATAATAACAGTTGTAACAACCAACATCTTTAACTGGCATTCCAGGTTACAAAACAGTTTCACATGAATTGTTTCATTTATAAAGGTACTGCAACCAGTGAAACAGACTGATGCAGTCATTAAATCCACTTCACTACCGAGTAAATAAAGGTTCAGAAAGTTCATTTGACCAGGATTACATTTCTAAAAAGTGACAGAACCACGGTCTCTCCACTCAGCTTTCCAAATAGTATGCTAATACTGTGTTCTTTTAGCATCAAAGGGGATTGTAACATGTCTAAGAGTCAGGGGAAAACAGGCAAAGGGGCAGAGATGCTATCATTCCATTACAGAGGAAGCATTGCCCTGGGAGAGGCTAGTGAAGGTGCAGCTGCTACTAACCTCATGCCTGCCTTTGGGTTGTAACAGTGCGGAAGAATGAGAAAGGAGGACTTCCTTCAAGCATAGCACACAGAGAGTCCGACTAAGTGTAGGGTTTGTACATTCAGGTGGAAGACAGAAAAATATATCTTTTCTGGGCCGACAGAAGGAAACAATGAGCCTTTATTAGTGAACAGGTTTGTTTCTTTAAGTCAGGAAGAATGACAGCATCATAATACACTGAGCTCCACAGACAGAGTCAGGGCAGGTGAAGCAGGATGGGCTCAGTGTGCTTCCTGGGGAAAGTTAACTACACAGAGACATATGGGCAAAGGAGATCCTAAGGAGCTAAGAGGCAAAATGCCATCACATGCTCTTTTTTTGCACTTTGTTTTCCTTTTTTTTTTTCTTCCTTCCTTCCTTCCTTCCTTCCTTCCTTCCTTCCTTCCTTCCTTCCTTCCTTCCTTCCTTCCATCTCTCTTCTTCCCTCCCTCCCTCCTTGTATATTCTGGTCTCCTTTGTCAAATATTAACTGACTCTATATGCATGAACATCAAAAGCAAAGGCAACAAAAGCAAAAATAAACAAGTAGGACTACATCAAACCAAAAGGCTTCTGCTCAGCAAAGGAGACTGTCAGCAGAAGGAAAAGGCGAACACTGGGAAGAGAGAAAATGCCCGTCTCTTCCACCCTTCCTCCTTCTCTTTCTGCAGACTTGCCTGAAGGAGCACAAGGAAAAGTGCCCAGATACTTCTATCGACTTCTCGGAATTTTTTTAAATGCTCAGAAAAGAGCACTTTCTGCTTAAAAGAAACAAAAGAGATAGAAGAAGAAGAGGAGGAAAACAAAAAGACTAGGAATATGATGGTGAAGAGAAAGATGAAGATGAAAAAGAAAATAATGGTGGTAAATAGAAAGATTTCAGTGCAGTTTTTTCTTTCTAAAAATATTTAACTTCCTATTATAGAAAAAAAAATTGAAGTGTAAGGTCATATGACTTGTTTTTAAACTGGATACAGTACAGTGTCTTTTCATTTTTGTCGAATTAATGTACTTCCAAGTGTATTTTAGATAGCCCTGTCTTTAATGGTGTTTTCAATATCCACTAATCTTGCCTGGTGGAGAATAGGAGTTTAAATTAGCACAGGAATTTAAAGCAGGTTTTATTGATGCGCAGCATAAATTATAGATAGAAGTGATATTTTTTCCATCTTCAATAGTCTTTGATTCAACTTGTACAAAACAACTGTTATTCTATTAATTGTATTCCTCTGTGATTGAAAATTCATAATAAAAATAGTAAATAATAATTTCTCACTTTTGTTAATATTCTGAGTGTTTCTTAGTAAATACAAATATCTCAATTCAAATAAATTAGAAAGAATGATTTCTTCCGTATTTAGGTGATATTAAATAGAAAAAAATTAATAAAAGAGAACAACAATGTAGTAAAGTTAAGTTAGTGGGATATGATGGGAAAAGACGAGCTTCTGAAACTTGGATATGAATCCTGAACACTGGTTAACTGTGGGAACTCAAGCAAATCTCTGAATTTTGCTGAGCTGTGTTGCCTCTGTAAAAATGGCTTTAATAATACTGACCTTACTGAGATTTTTTTAATAACCATGATTTATTTATTTTTATTTATTTATTTATTTATTTATTTATTTATTTATTTATTTATTTTAGAGGAAGGGAGAAGGAGAGAGAGGTAGACACATCTATGAGAGAGAAACATCATCTGACTGCCTCCTACATGCCCCCTACCAGGGATCAAACCCACAACCTGGGCATGTGCCCTGACCAGGAATCAAACCAGTGACCTCTTGATGCAGGGGACAATGCTTACCCACTGAGCCACACCAGCTGGGTTCACAGAGCTTGCATATGGATTAAATAAAATGATAAATGATCTAATATCTTGCCTGTACTAGGCATTTTTTCCACTCCCCTTCCATTTTTACCTCAAAATGCAGGATCTTGATGCTAAAATGAGTATGGAAGATCCTTGGAATTTGTCAATTTAACATACACTATGCTAATTTTAAGTGACTCTGAAGTCCTTAACACATTCAAATTATAAACCTGTTTCTGCACTGTGCATATGAAGCATCTGTGCTCCGAGGCTGGTACAAAAAAGGCAAGTCACTTAGCAAAGTGAAACCCTTAAATGATTAAGATTTTGTGAAAACTTGTCCCCAGAAGACAGCTATCTTCACATTGGTGTTGTAATTTACGTAATCTCTGGCTAATGTCAGGGCAGTAATGGAGAGATAGTATTATGAATACATTAATAATTATATTTATGCATGCTTATTTCTTCATGGGCTCTGTACTAAGAGTTCTTCCCACTTAATCTCACTTATGAGCTTGACCCTGTTATTGTACTCATTTTAATGGTATATTAGTGTAAAGATTTCATCTTAGCGGCAGAATCTATTTTAATCATTTTACAAGTGACTTTAATCTTGCAATTACAGAGTCATTAAAAGTATGAAGAGTTCACATGCGTATTTTAGTTGTGATTCACTGCACTGTGCTGGGCAGGTGAGGAAGTGTGTGCTACGGTGGTATGTTTGAAAATTCACAAAAAGCCCAAGGACACTGCCACGGTGAATTGAAAGGGTCCATGATTCACTGGACTTAGGATCAGCAGGAAACCAAGAATTTAACGAGACAAGGCCCATGGCTTCCTTACCTGCTGCATGACTTGTTCTGGGTACCATCTCCCCATCATCCTCTGCAAAATAATCTCTGAAGAGAGAAACAAATAGTTAATGGGATAACCTCTCGAAATGGTCCCCAATCCCTGTGGTGGCAAAATACCTACCTGTGCTCTGTTTTCATTTATTTCTCCACAAGCATTCATTAAACTCCTACTGTGAGTCAGGGTCAGTGTTAAGTGCTGGAGATACAGGAAGGGTTCCTAGCCTCCATAAGTGCACCCAGAGACCAGAGGCCACTGAACAAACAATTCCAGTAAGCACTGAATTACCATGTGGCAAATGCTACAAAGGAAAATGCAGAGTAAGTTAACTAGTAGAGAGACTCAGAGAAACAGAAAATGAGACATTAAAACTAAGACAGAGAAATGTCAACCAGATGAAAAACAGGAACAGAAGAGTATTCCCTCACGAGGGAACAGCAAAGACCCTGAGTCGGAAAGGAACTTGGCCTGAGAGAGGAACAGAGGAAACCTGATTGCAACCAGACTTGGGCCTTGTGGGATGGGGTAAGGATATCGAGTTTTATGTGAAGGGCAATGGGCAACCACTGAAGGATTTTAAATGAGGGAATGAATGGTACATGACCAGATTTAGATGGTAGACACATCATTCTGGCTGTAAAGAGAGACTATGTGGAGGGAACAAGGGTAGAAGGGGAAAGCAGGAAGTGATGGGGTTTTTTTGTTTGTTTTTTTATCTTCACCCAAGGACTTTTTTTTTTGTTTTTTGTTTTGCATTTATCTTCCAATAGAGCAGGAGGAAGAGAGAGAGTGAAACATTGACATGAGATAGACTCATTGACTGGTTGCCTCTTGCATGACCCCAACCAGGGCCGGGGATGAACCACAACAAAGGTATGTGCCCTTAGTGGGAACCGAACCTGGGATTCTCTGGTCCACAGGCCGACCCTCTAACCTCTGAGGCAAACCAGCCAGGGCGGAAGTGGTGGTTTTAACCGAAGAAAAACAGTGGCGATGAAGAAAAGAAAAAAAATTTGACTCGTCTAACTAGTAGAATTGATCAGGAAAACAAAGTCCATTAATGGAAATGTTGAAAACACCAAAATTCAGTAGCAAGAGGTGTATCTATCCAGCACAGTGAAGACCACCATCCTGGCACAGAAGGGGGCGGAAATCTCAACGTTATTAACAAATACACGTCCAGCACCCACTATGTTTTCTGGCACCGTTTTAAGTTCCATGAATGCAGACATAAAAGCTTGCACTCCTAGGACTTGGAGTCACAGGAAACAAAAGGAAAATGTGGTTAGCAATAGTGTGGGGACAAGTACTTCTAAAAATTAACATAAGGAATGAGCACAGGGAGTCCAGGAGGTAATGGGGGGAGAGGGGGTGACGATTTTCAGTAAGCAAAGTTTCTCTGCAAAGCACTAGGTGTGCTCATTGAGGATAGGAACCCTTCCTGGGGGCGGGGTGTCTTTGTAGCTACAGCTCTTAACACTGTCCCTGACCCACGGTAGGATTTTAATGAATACTCGTGAAGAAATAGATGAAAATAAGGGTAGCTGTGGGGTATTTGGGGAAAGAGTCCTCTAAGCAGAGAAAATCAAATGCAAAGCTTCTCAGGAAAGAGCACACCAAAGCCTTTTCCAGAACAGCAAGGAGGCCAGCGTCGCTGAGCAGAGGGAGCAGGCGGTGAGTACAGGAGGTGGGGTCAGGGGAGTCATGAAAAGGCTGGGTGGGAGCAGATTATATAAAGCTTTTTGGGACACTAAGAGGAATTTAGCCACTGGAGCCTTGTGAGTCAAAAAGAGAGATGAGCTGAGTGAACAATGTTTTAAAAGGGCTGGCTACTGTTTGACACCAGACTGCCTGGGTGGGGAAGGCAGAAACAGAGAGGACTGCAATAATGCTACAGTGAGATGCTTTCAACATTTGGCTTATTCCTTAAACCTTGGGTACTCCCAGTTGGCTATTTGAAAACTAATTTGGTAGACAGATATTTAGAGGGCTTCTCTCTCTTTTTTTAATTAATTAATTTATTTTTGTCACAGATGTTTCTCCTTTTCCCCCCACTGATTTCCCCCTCCCCTCCCTCCCCGCCCTGTCCCCAGCTTTGTTGTCCATGTCCATTGTTCATGCTTCTCTTTTAAAAAGCCAGAAACCATTCACAGGGAGGCAGAGAGCCTGGCATTTGTTTAGAAATTGTTGCTGTTCTTTGTTCTCTGCCTCAGGTCTGGATCTTGGCACAGATCTTCACTTTGTCAAGTCCAGATGTAGAGGAAAGTACCAGCAAGGACACATGGGTCTACGCACACACCCCTGCCAATTCTTGGTTACTCAAAAGCAGATCACCAGATTGTGGTTCCTTCCAGGACCCCTTCCCCATTTCCTTTTCCTCTTTTTATTAAAAACTTCCCTCATGAGTGAACAATGAAAGAGATAAATGTACTATTTGGATGTTGAAACTATCCACCAGAACAATATCCTGAAAAATTTGGAGGGACTAAAACTTATACTCAGCTGTGTCTTTCACGCGCTGGATGAATTCCTTTATGCTCAGCCCAGAGACCTAAGTAGCCCTCAGGAGCTGGGTCATGCCTCAGGCCAAATTCAGCCCATCCAACCTGTTTTATTTGGTCAACACAAAGTTGACCCATTTCTAACTTCTCTTGAAAAATGACTGGGTCTAGCAATGCTGGGCCCGCCTTCCTACTCCGGGATAACCTGCCACCTTTAAACAGAACAGACATGCTCTTCAGTTTGCCACGGCTTCACTCCCTGTCCTCGTGGTCCTAACGCATGAACTCAGCTGTGACATGTGCCAGGCTCCTTACAGGTCGCAGAGGCTGTTGTCCTCATAGAAAAAGCACGGACAGAATTTCATTCTGCTTTAAGACACAGTCTCGAGTAGCCTATTGGTTTCAGCACACAACTCATTAATTTGTGATTATAAAACTACTAGCTGGCTTATAAGTCACTTTTACCTTTTTAAGGCTTCAGTTTCCTCAAATATTTGTAAAAGAAGTGCATGAATTTCTAATGGTTCCTTGCAGTAATTATGCAATTCTATTCTAGTATATGCTTAAGCATAAAACCCATTTTAATAGTTTCCAAGGATCCAGGGAACTGTCCAGACATGATCTCATTCAATCCTCCTTGCTCTGAAGATTCCACACTCTAGATCAGGAGCAGGTTACTGCAAGGCATATGGTCCCCTTGAGATACCCCGCCTTCTCTACCCCACTCATATCCACTCCATGCCTGCCTGGGATGAATCAATAACTGAAGGGTAGAGAGGTCACTGTGGATGAGTACTGAGTTAATGGGCTTATTATAGTCTCAGGGGAATTTTTAAAAATCACTTTAACTCTATTAACAGCTCAAATTCCCTCTTATTGCCAGAGAGTAGGGCTCACTACTCAGCTGCTCCAAAGGTTGGTAAGGAATCTGATATGCTCCCCCAGGGAAGGGGCTCCAAGTGAAGAAACACAGGATATATGTCTAGGGGATTGCAATTTGTGACATCTGATAAACCAAAGGACAAAGAGAACTGGAGTATGCTAGAAACAGACTCCAAGCTCGCCCCGGCCCCACCCACCCCCCACACGAAGCAGTGATATATACTGGTAAATTCTTCCGTGTTACCCAAGTCTGGAAAAAAACTTGTATATCCTTTGCCCTAGTTTCTCAAATTCAAGTGTTTCTAGATTTCTGTTTTTAACATGAGTCCATGAATGACTCATGCTCAGTGAGAATGTGGTTCGCCAGGGCATTTATAGCTCTCCTGTCTAGATGGACATATATGATCTTTCCCCCAAGATGCTTTTACCTTAAACGTTGCTTTCCCTGTAAACATGAATTATACTTTCCCTCAATGAGCTTCATCCTTTTCCCCCTACCCCATCAATCTGTCAATACTGACACCAATTAAACTAAAATTACACTCAGTAATTTTTACCAGGACACTCTTCTGCTTAATTTAAAGAACCAAGCACTTTCCAAGTAGAACACACCCACCAGCTGTTCATCCACTTAGTTTCTGCATGGTTTATTACCTACATTTTCATGACTGGCTCATAATAGCTATGAAGACACTGGGCTCAAACAGTACATCAACATTTACTATCCCCGCCTACTAGTTTTTCCTACAGTCTTCCGGGGTGATTAGATTGAGAATGACCAGGAAATAATTGCTCCTCTCAAAGCCCTCCCCTGCACTCTGATACTGTCAAATTGGGCTCTGTTCATTTTTTCCCAACAATTTTCCAATTATGGTAGGATATATCAAGAATATACAAGGCACTCAATTTTGCTTTGCTTGAAAATGGCTACTGATATAACTCCTTTACGAGATTTGAGCAGCTTGCTGGTCCCACTAGTCTAGTCTCTCATAACACTGGGGAGAGGTAGAAACTTAAGTCTTTCCTCCTTAGCACAGGGTGACACCACAGCGGAGGCCACAAGAAGATATTTTCTATAAGGCAGCCATAGACCATCCTTTGCAAACTGCCTTGCATTGGCCTTTTAATCTGTGGGCTGAGAAGAGCAATGGATCATGACAATGGACCATATAATTCATGAGCAATGGCAAGATGGCAGTTGTACAACTTCACCGTCATAAAGCAGGTCGCACACCCCGTCTTTTAATGGCATGAGATACTAGTATTAATCTAGGGCTGTTCCTTCCCACATGAGTGTCCAAATTCCCAAAGGGGTGGCTCCTTTTTCAGGCCTCTCGCCAGGGCAATCACACACACTGAGGTTGTTGGATCACCACACAGTCTGGTCTCCCTACTTCATCACACACCACCACCTGCTTCACATCTCTGAGCCTGGGGACAGAGACCATCTCCCAGAAACACTTTATATCTTTCAAACTTCTTTTTACATGCTATTCTTATTATACACAAAAATTCAGAAGGAGGAAAGACAATATGCTATAGCAGTACTTAGAGCAAAAAACTGGGCCTCTGATTGCTACTTTTAGGGTTTTTCATTCCATTTCCTAAACGTTTATTGAGAAGTTGCTTATATGGCAAGCACTAGTAACAGGTGAATAAGAAAT